TAATAATAGGAGAAAGAAAGAAGCCTGAGAAAACACGGCGTTATAATTAAAGCTATGATGAAAGTTGAGCCGCGCACTGACGCAATACATGCCTTGACAGGCATGATTTTAACCTGACACACCATCAGCTCCCTGTGGCTATAAGTGGCAGAGTGCGGGGCTATGACAAACGCGGTTCGGGTTCAAGTCCACACGAGGGCGTCCGGGTATTTTACCTCTTGGAAATTATCCATGGTTCCAATGGGTTCCAATGGGTTCCAATGGGTTCCAATGGGGATAGATCCAAACCCGCAGGTTCTTGACTGACCAATCCCATTGGAACCCATTGGAACCATGGTCAATTCCCAACGGGTCCCCGTGGGAATTCGCTACGGGTTCCCATTGCGATTTCCTACGGGTTCCAATGGGACCGTTTTGACAGGGTAAAATATCGTACAATTCGTTTTCACTTCTTCTTCTCCTCTCAGTGGGTCCTAGGGGTGCAAGTACCATACTTGGTACTGGGAAAAATATTGATTAACTCAATATTTTTCCCAACTTCGTAAGTGGGATTTTTCCCTGGGACAAATCTCGTGAAACGGCACGTGGGGACAAGACCGAAGAATGTGACCCAAATTTGAAGTACAGAAATCTAATTGGAACTCTCCTTTATATATTTAATTTTTTTTTACTACTTCCGGTAGCCCACAAGGGCTAATCCTGGGCTTCAGTCCCGTCTTCCCTCCGTCCCTAACAGCCAGACCCAGTCAACCATTGTTTGAGACCATCAAACTCGGGTTAGGTTAGGTTAAACAGTCAAACAGTCAAGTGTTCAGTTAGACGCATATTTGCAGAGGCGCACTTTGCATGTAAGTAATATTTCAGAGAGAAAATTGGCATCTGGTTTTCTCATTAGAATAAACAATACTTTGACTCTATGGAAATCACAAAAGCAAAAAGTAGTGAACAGCATCATCACACGCGGAATGTTATGCTCTATCGGAATTAGTTGCAGTAATTATTCCTGTACAAGGACTTCTGTCAGAATTCAATGTAAGTAACATTTAAAAAACTGATTAAAATTCATGAATATAATATAGGTGCCCTTGAATTAGACAAAAATGGGCGTTTTACTAAGAACTCACTAGATACATGTTGTAGTACGCTATCATTATGCCCATGACTATATGTTGAACAAAAAATGGTTGAAATGAAAAACATCTCAACCAATGACCAACAAATCCAAATTTGAAAAATTTCGCTCAGAACTAAAGAACCCCGCACAGAGCATGGGCTCAGCGGCTCTCGGTGAAAGTTAATGAAACTTTAATAGATTGTTATAAAGTTCATAATTAAGGGAAAGCCAAAAAATTAGCTCACTTTTACGAGTAGAAGCTGAGATATTCGCGATTGAACCCGGACTATTTTCTGTGCGGCGGAGGTAAATGGGCGCTCCGCGTCGCCGTCGCCTTACCTTGCTCGAGCACTTCGGCCAGGAAACCCCCTCTCCCCACCAGGTAGCTACGATGTCGCATTGTTTACACTCACAAGGGGAACTTACGGACCTGCCGCCTCCGATTGGGCTGAATTTTTTTTTACAGACTCTATGGACCAATTCTAGAGGTTAAGTTGAGCCGTTTTCCCGAATGCGCAATAGGAAGGGCGTAAAAAATTCCCAAAAGTTGCGTTTTCGGCGTGTGATTTGGTCGTGCGGCGCATGGCAACACTGAAGCAGCCTCTTGTACCGCTTTATCGGCCTTGAGGTTTCAGCGGAGTCCGGAGCCCTACTGCACACGTACTGGATCCATGATAGTGATGTCCCGGGTTCGATCCTCGACTTTTTATTTTCCGCATGATCACGTAACATTTTATTTTTAACTCTTCATCCGCATTTATAAATCAAGCAGTTCCGATCACTATCCCCCCCCCCTCAGTTTACGTACATTTTCCCCCGATATTTATTCACATTGACCACATATAATCGTATGAAACTTCATTAACATAAATTAATGAATTAAAAAGCAAAGGGCTAAAATAATGTGTTTCTTGGTGACCCTTGCGTACACATCGGTTTGGGGTTGCTCTTCGATTTATTTACACATTACATTCGATCATTTACATTACGGTTCGATCCTCGACTTTTGGGAATTTTTTACGCCCTTCCTATTGCGCATTCGGGAAAACGGCTCAACTTAACCTCTAGAATTGGTCCATAGAGTCTGTAAAAAAAAAATTCAGCCCAATCGGAGGCGGCAGGTCCGTAAGTTCCCCTTGTGAGTGTAAACAATGCGACATCGTAGCTACCTGGTGGGGAGAGGGGGTTTCCTGGCCGAAGTGCTCGAGCAAGGTAAGGCGACGGCGACGCGGAGCGCCCATTTACCTCCGCCGCACAGAAAATAGTCCGGGTTCAATCGCGAATATCTCAGCTTCTACTCGTAAAAGTGAGCTAATTTTTTGGCTTTCCCTTAATTATGAACTTTATAACAATCTATTAAAGTTTCATCAACTTTCACCGAGAGCCGCTGAGCCCGTGCTCTGTGCGGGGTTCTTTAAAATACATCTAACTTCAAAATTAAGGAGGCGTAATGAAATAAAAAGTTTAAAAAAAGAAAAAAAATTACAAAAATTAGCTGGACGATTCTCTTTTTTTTCTTGGTGTGAATGCGGAGCTCCGATAAATGTGTGATTTATATTTCTCTTCTCTTACTTCTCATTTTTATAAAATTATTGCTACTGTTCATATTCTCAAAAAGATGTATGTAAATAAAATGAAAATGCTGAAAAAGAACCTTTAAATAAAAACTATTACCTACCTATCTTGTGAAACATGTATTGTATTAAAAGACATTGAATCACGTAGGCCGTGCATCCTGTGCTAGGGAAGGCAAAGCAACCTTTAAAAATTCGCATGTGATGAGTGGTGGCACCGACCCGCATCGATGAGTTCGTGTGTCCCAGTTGCGCACATCTGCGCATGCGCAGTAGCGGCTCCTGGCGGCTCCAGTGAATTTTTGTCGGATTGTGAGGCTTTTTTCCTCAGTTAATAATTAGTTTGGGAAAATAAAACAGTGCTAATCGGGTGTAAAATTATGTGTTCCATAACATTTCTTCTTAGGAATTTTGTCTGAAAATGGACTCTAAACGAGATATTCGTGAAAAACCGAGCGCGGGCATGAATTCTCCATTGCCTCTTCGAGTGCTTTGAGACATACGCTCTCTCCCCTTCCCCGCTGGCCCATCATGGGGCTTCGAGAGACTTGCCTCGCTCCGCCAGTACTAAACCGAGCCGAACGCACGGTCTACGTGATTCAATGTCTTTGATTGTATTGAATGACTTCAAATGAAAACTATAATCTTGTGAAACAAGTAGATATTGCATTAAAGAACCTTCAAATGAAAAGCAATATGTTATTAGTAATTTTGTACCTACAATATTGATTCCGACACAAAATTAAGGAGACATGTTGGAAAGAATATCTTTCTCCTTCAATTATGCTATAAGCAACTCGTCATACATATTGTTTGTCTCCATTTTTGTTCTCGCTCCTAGCCTTTGTTACTTCTCAATCTCTTATCAATACCTAAAATGTGAATCTCGCAAAAATCAAGTTTATATAACTAGACCGTAAAGGAAAGAACGAAAGGAAATAATAATAAAACGAAAACTAAATGATAAGGAAGACGAACGTGTATTCGTGAGATTAAATCGCTCCCGAGTCAGGGTTTACCTCCTAGCAAGGCCGATAGCCCCTATTCTATTGAAGATGGCACGTGAGCATAGAGAAAAAAAAGGAGGTGTTTGCATTTCGGGCATCTTGGAATATTTTGATGACTTGATGACGTAGGTGGGTACAGCTGGGTACAGGGACGTCCCCTTCACACTGTACCCACCTACGTCATCAAGTCATCAAAATATTCCAAGATGCCCGAAATGCAAACACCTCCTTTTTTTTCTCTATGGCACGTGAGTGCCATTGTGTAATTGCTATAACGGAAGAACGAGAACGAGCAGAGACGTTGTCACACAGCGATTTTATTCGATAGAGAAGACAGAGAGCGCCTCCACGGCCTGACCCTGGCGGAGAGACACATCTCCGCCATTACATGTTACCAACCTATGGGATATTACAGTCTTCCCCACTAAAAAGAAAAAGCACATTGGCTGGGCTTGGGATACAGAAAAAACACTAGGGGTACAATACAAATTATTTGGGGACAAAGTCTTTCAAATGTCCTGGCACTTTTTTGATACGAGAAGGGCGGTCTAACACAGGCGACCGTATAGTTGCCCTACCTCTTCCTACACTTGGCAGCTTCCTAGGAGTCTGGCTTGTTAGGTCAATGACTGGCGGCGGAACGTCTGGATTCGCAGATTGGCTAGTTGACGGCAGAGAGACCGGGCTTGGCAGGCTACCATGGCTGGTAAGAGGCAATGGTTGCCTTACAAGGTGACTGCTTGAACCCTGAACAGTAGGCGGCTTCCGACTAGCTGAAGGTGAGCCAGGCGATGCAGGCTTTGCTACAGGTATGACAACCTGTCTTCGAGATGGCACTACATGGAGATCTGGAATGTCCCTTGGAGTTGGCATTTGCACTTGAAACGAAACCTGCTTTTTCGGCTTACTCTGTTGTTGCTCCGGGGTCTTGAAGTCAAGGAAACTTGCATCTCGCAGTTGGTCGATATGTCGCTTCAGTGTATACCCGTTGCTTAATTCTACTAGATAGTGGATTTTACCAAATTTTTTCCGGACGAGGCCAGGTTGCCATGAAGGTTTGTTGCTTCTATACACACGAGCGATTATCTTGTCACCAATTTGGAAGGAACGGAGGTGGGTGGCTTGACACGACGAATTTTTGAGCGGTTTGAATGGGTGAATGGCATCCAAGCGAAGTTTGATTCTACGCCCTAGGTAGCGTTCTGCAGGGCTAGATCCATCCAATAACGGTGTAGCTCTGAATCGCAGGACAATTTGACGCACTTTTTCTTGAATGTCACCAGGTTCTGCTTCCATTTTTGATAATTTGGATTTTAATATTTGAACATAACGCTCTGCTAGGCCATTTGTGGCTGGCTTCCCAGGGGCAGTAAAACAATGGAAAATTCCTTTTGTTTTGCAATAATTGCTAAATTCTGCGTTGTCGGCGGAGAAAATTGAAGCATTATCTGAAACTAAAGTTTGAGGGTAGGGTAGGATGGGGTCAGTCCGCCAGGGTGGGTCAGTCCGCCAGTCGACCGTAGCGCCCCTAGCAGTGGTCGAATTGGGAAATTCAAAGCATGGGAGTAAGCAGTTGGAAGTGCTCGTCTACTATATGTTGTTCCATGCATGATTCATTTGTTTACAACTAACCTACAGGCGCAAGTGTTAAAATTGCTCCCGATCGTAACTTTTTTCTTTTTTGGAACTTTTCGTCTGGACTTTGGTGGTTTGGTGATCGAAATTTGGGAAGTACATCATCGTAAACTACTCACTCAAGGCTATTGATTCCGTTTTTGATCTTTGAAATATCTTTACTTCTGTCATGTCAGGTAACAATTTTGTGCAGCGAAGCCGGGATGGGGTCATTCCGCCAGTGACGCCGAGGGTCATTCTGCTACTGGCTAAGTGACCCCTTTTTAGGTTTAGGTGCTGCTACACTGGCTAGTCCTTTATATGTATGTAGTTCAATTTCAAAACCACCAACTTTTTATTAATATTTTAACTTATTTTTGGAAAAAAAAAATTCAAATTTTGAAATTTATTAGACCTTTAAAATTAACTTTTCGTTCTTATAGTTATAGACTTTTTTGTACTGACTGAAGTTCTGAGTTCAGATATGTTTGTTTTCCTTCATTTTTCTTAATTAAATTGTTTTTTCCAGCACTTCTCATGTTTTCATTTGCTACTGACGTATTGACCCCAGCACTGGCGGACTGACCCTAAGAATGTGGCGGACTGACCCTACTCGTGGGGTCACTCCGCCACTTTCTTTTTTTAAAAAAAAAAGTTCAAAAAAGGGGGGGGAAATGCACCTAAAGTATCCAATTTTTTTTTGTGCATAGTCAAAGGTCCAAAGATCACTCCTAGCATTCAAACAAGTTCATCCATCAATTAGGGAACTCAGGAAAAATCTTGGGGCAAAAAAGTGGCGGACTGACCCCATCCTACCCTAGCCATGGAAAGAGAATATGTCTTCTAATAGTTTGATAGTAGAATCTGTAGTAGGAGCTTTGCTAAGAATGCGGACTTCTGGCCACTTAGACTTGGCATCGACAAGGATGAGAAAATTGAATCCTTTCCTTGGACCTGCATAGTCCATATGTACTCTGGAGAAGTTTTGAGTCGGCTCTTCCCATTTATGGGTAGGAACTTTCTTAGGAGACTTCTGAGATAGCATGCACTGCTCACATGATTTGATTAATTTTTCAATATCAGAGTCAATTGAAGGCCAGTAGACATATCTTCTAGCGAGTTGCTTTGTCTTTGTGATTCCTGAATGAGTTTCATGCAATTCTTTGAGTATTTGGCCTCTTAATGACTGAGGGATATAGACTCTGTTACCTCTGTAAACAATATCGCCCTCTAATACGTACTCCATACAGGCGGGGTCTTCGCTGCTGCTGCGAAGCTTGGAGATAATATCAACGAGCTTTGGATCCGATTCTGCTGCCTCTGCGATGTCGTAACTTGTGACATTGGCACTGGAAATTTGATTTAGCGTATTTTCATGACAAGCTGAGAGTTCGAAATCCAGAAGTGGTTGATTTCCCTGTAAATTGCGGCCTGAAACAGGGAATCGTGAAAGGTAGTCAACATTTGCATGAGCTTTACTGAGCCGATGCTTTACCTCATAGTCAAATGAGGAGAGGTAGGCTGCATAACGTAACAGCCTTGCTGCTGTCATGGGAGGTAGTTTCTTGTTCTGATGTAGGATTCTGGACAGCGGCTTGTTGTCTGTTATCAGGGTAAATTTGCGACCATAAATGTACATATAATATTTATCTAAAGCAAATACAATCGACAGAGCTTCTCTGTCTAATTGACTGTAATTTTTCTCAGCCGGGGTTAAAGATCTAGAAGCAAACATGATTGGTCTATCTGATCCATCAATGATATGAGAAATTACAGCTCCTAACCCTGTAGGGCTTGCATCACAGGCCACTGTGATCGGTAGATTCACATCATAAGAGACTAGCACATGATCACTGGCTATGATTTCTTTAAGTTTTAGAAAGGCTTTTTCACAGGCATCGGACCATTTGAATGGATGGTTTTTTGAAAGTAATTGACGGAGCGGGGCTGTTAAGGTAGATGCATTGGGAACAAAACGTGAGTAATATGTGACTAGTCCGAAGAATTGCATCACGTCACGGCGGTTCTGCGGTCTCACTGTCTGCAAAAGATCAGAGATTTTCCTTGGGTCTTTATACACATTTCTTCCTTGAATGATGTAACCGAAGTAAGCAATTTTATCTTCAAAGAAATGGCATTTTGACAAATTGATATGCAAATTTTTCTCCTGCAAACGCTTCAACAATGCAATTAAATTTTTATAACACTCATCATAATTTTTCCCATGCACTATAATATCATCGAAATACCAAATAATACCTGAAAGTCCAGCGAGTAGACGACCAAGGATCTGGTGGAACTGGCTGGGGGCTGTTTTGATTCCCAAGCTGAGCCTGTTCATGAGGTAAGTGCCTCTATGCGTAGAGATGGCTTTCTTTGCTTCATCATCCATTTCAACGTGTAGGTACGCTTTGTATAGATCGATCTTGCAATAAACTGAAGATTCTTTGAGTTTGCTTATGAGTTCTTCGATGCGAGGAATTGGGTAGTGAAAGTCTTCTAGTTGAGGGTTGACTCCTGACTTGTAGTCGACGCATAATCTCACTTTTTCCACTGTCTTGGGGACTGGAACTAGAGGTGAGCCCCAATCGCTGGTGTCGGTCCGGGTGATGATGTCGTCACGCTCAAGGTCGTCGAGCTCATTGTCGACTGGTTTCTTGAAGGCATAGGGTGGATCACGGGGTTTCTGAAACTTAGGTTTAGCGTTAGATTTCAGAGGCAAGGAGCATTTCAAGTCTGGAATTTTTCCAACCTTTTGTACGCAAATATCTGGAAATTGCTGTTGGATATCTTGGACCGTCATTCGATGAACGGAAGAAAAGTCTTCCTTGGAACTGGGCTTTTGAGTGCTTAACTCATTAAGGTTAATCTGAAAACGTCTGATCCAAGATCTACCTAAAATTGCTGAAAATTTCGATGGTACCACATAAAATGGAACATATGCAGTAATATTGTTGAATGTGACTGCTGCTTTGGCATATCCAATAGGTTTAATTATGCCATGGTCATAAGACTTGAAGTTTTGACGGGCAGGAAACAGTTTAATTCTGGGATCGAGTTTCAAAAATTGATTTTCAGGGAGTAGCGTATAACCACAACCGGAGTCTACTTCGAACTGGGTTTCAAAACCGTTGATATCAACTGACGCAATATATTTCCCTGTATCATCATCTTCACTATAAAAAGGATCACTAGACAAGAGAAAACAACCTGGATTCGAACTGAAGTCAACGATGTCATTTACATCAGGATATTCATCATTGACAGCGTTAACCTTATGGGACCTATTCTGAGTTAATAATGTTGAAATGCACACTTTGCTGATATGCCCAGTTTTGGAACAGGAGAAGCATTTGAGACTGCTTGGATTAACTTTACAATCAAAAGCTCTATGATTATTGCGCCCACATCTAATGCAGAGATCAGAAATACCCAGTTTTTCATAATCTATTCTACGCTTGGCAGATTTGCCTCTCTTGGAGTGCCTGCTGTCACTACGTTGATAGCGCTGTTCGCTCTTATTTCTACTTCTATACCTTGAATTGTGACTAGAAGATGGCTTTGAGCTATGGATTTTGCAAACACTAGTGACACCAGTTGTTGATGCTGAGCCGTTCAGGATCTCTTGGTTATCAAGCTTCGATGACTCAAGCGAAAGAGCCATGTTGACTGCTCGCTCGAATGTTAACTCTGACTCACACAATAGTCTCTCTCTAATAAAGGAACTTTTGATCCCACGGATGAACTGGGCACGAAGGAACATGTCAGCAATTGATTTCCCGCAAGTACACTTGAACTCAGAATTTTCTAGAAAACTACGTAGAGCTGTAACGTACTCACCGATTGTCTCCGTGTCTTTCTGCAGTCTTGAGAGAAATCGATGTTGTTCTAGTAGTTTATTTGGGGGAGGAGATAAGTGCTGGGAGAGAGATGCGATGATATCCTTGTAGGAAAGATCTTTAAGTTCTTTGGGAGCTGATATGGCTTTCAAGAGTTGGTAAGTTTCACTTCCTAGACAATTAATAAGAGTGCTTTTCATGAGGAGAGAATCATTTGAAATACCTCTAAGGCCGGCGAAGTTTTCAAAACGTTCGACGTATTGACAGAATTTTTCTTTGCCGTCATATTGCTCAAAATTCAAGATCCTCCAAGTGCTGGGTGAGGTTGAGGATGATCCATCCGGGTTAGATTCTCCATTCGATTGACCGGCTGCTGCTCCTGGAATTGCTGGGGCCTGGATTGAGATGCTTGATAGGGAGGCTTGTACCACGTTTAGGAAAGCCGTAAATTGTTCTTCGTTCATTTCTAACGGGTGGAGTCGAAGTTGAGCAGGAAAAGCTGGAAGGAATGCCGATTAATAAATCGCGATTGAGTTGACGCGGCCCGGGTAGCACGAGGTCATAGACGAGGTACGAGGTTGAGGTTACCTCTTCTCAAACGAAGGTTGGAGCTGGAGCCGTGATTGCGGATAAGGCACATTTTCGAGAAGTACCGGACGAGAGAAAAAAAAGAGAATTGATAGATGAGTTCTAGTAATGCGAGAACATTTTTTTAGAATCCTCGTCGCCAATTTGCTATAACGGAAGAACGAGAACGAGCAGAGACGTTGTCACACAGCGATTTTATTCGATAGAGAAGACAGAGAGCGCCTCCACGGCCTGACCCTGGCGGAGAGACACATCTCCGCCATTACATGTTACCAACCTATGGGATATTACAGTAATTGATAATTTTTCCAGAAATTTCCTCCCCGTGACTCACTGTGCTAAGGTGATTCCATGTGGTCTATGGACGACATCCACCACCACGCTGCGCTGCCTCGCGGTTTTCGTCTTTGACAAACAATAATTATTATCGTAATGTACAAGATACTGCAAGAAACTGATCCATAACGCGTAGCAGCACTAATATTGTGTAGAATGATATCAAAGTATAGATTAATTGTAAAATACCTGAAATATACCTACAAAACAGCAGGGGTGGACTGGCCATGGGGGCGGGGAGGCGATCGCCTCCTAACAACTTGCCGCGGAGGTCTCGAAGGGGGCGAATTTTTTTCGTGTCATCGTTTTTTCCCCGTAATGTTGTAATTTTCCTATCCTTTGCAGTCACTAAAAGGCCCCAAAATCCTTGAAATTTGTCTCTAGGTAAGAGGCATGAAAGGTCGCCTAAAGCTTATGTGATGAAGGGGCCCCCGAAGAATCCTGAAAATGGGTTATTTTGAAGTTCCAGTACTGTAGAATTTAACTCCAATAATGCTTAAAATTGCGTTTAAAAAGTGTGAAATTTTCAAAATTTTCTGGGAGAGGGCCCTCCCAACGACAAGGGGGCCCTCAAATCTAAGTTGCCTCCTAACTTTTCGACTACCAGTCCACCTCTGGCTATAACAGCCTTAACAGGCGTGATTTTAACCCAGCTATCCATGAGCTCCCTGTGGCTCAGTGGCAAAGTGCTGGGCTGTCAAACCCGCGTCTCGCGTTCAAGTCCCCACGAGGGCGTCCGAGTATTTTACGATACTAAACGTCGCAGGAATTCAGGTAAGTGGTTTATAATACTCAATACTTGTATAATTCATGTTTCAAATGTAAAACAAGTGCAGTACTGGGAAAATGGCGGTCTTTGCCTGTACTTCCACATCTAGAAAATATTTGTATTTAATTTAGATGAAATCCAGATACCGTCTCAATATAATTGAAATTGAATAAGTATTTAATCGCTATTAAATTCAAATTAAAAGGTGACTTCAAGAAGATTTAATTGGAATGAAATCGAAATCTCATTTCAATAAAATCGCAATTGAATTCCTGCAAAATTTCCGGAAAATTGTAAAAAAAATACGTGCAAATGCTACTAGGCAAGGAAGCACCATGGTCTTTATTAACGCAAGGGAAATGTAGGTAAATATGATCACACATGCTGATAAAATCCCGTCTTATTGTCACGTGTGTTTTGACGGATTTGCGTCGGCCACGTTTAAGATTGCGTAGCATCCTAGCGCACAGGGTTGAATGGAACGGCTCCTGTGCACAAAATGTTCACCTGTGCCATATTATCGTTCTTGAAGCAGAAAGCATAAATAACCCGTATTTCTCACACTAATTGTGAAGGTAGGAGAGTCTTTAAGACTTTTCTGATTCGCTCATCGTGATTTTTGAGCCATTTTCACCGAGAAATATGTATTTTCTTTGATCCAGCTGAAATTTGCCAAAAGCTCATTGTGGGGGAGCAAGGGCTCATATTGTGTCGCTCTTCTGACGTAACGAGGTACTTCGATTTCTACGAGAGCCCATATTATCCATGTGAAACAGACCCCCTGCGGAGCTTAGGCGGAAATGGAGACACCCCTTCTTGAGAGGAGCGATAATTTGTACCCTCCCAAGTAGCAAAATATAATTTTTTTCTAGAAAAAAAATATTAAGAAAATTTCTAGAAAAAACAATGAAAATGAAAGTTATCCAGAAAATAGAAAGAAAAAACATTGCGAGTCAAACGTCTGACCAAAAAAAATAGATCTATTTCATAGGTCTACTTTCTGTCAACTTGCCATTTGGAAAAAAGATAGAAAATTTATTGAAAGTAGAATTATTTTCTAGCCAATTTCTTAATGTTTTCTTTTAAGAAAATGCAATGAAAAAATTATTTTCTCTCTATTTTCTTCTGTTTATTTTCCAGATCTACTTTATACCTATTTTCTTTCAAGAAAATTGTTCTATCTACTTTATACCTATTTTTTTCAAGAAAATTGTTCTATCTAGAGAGAAGACATTTTCTTGATGAGCGCCACCTAGAAAGTAGATGAAAATGCTACTTGGACTAACGTGGGTCTACAGATTTTTAGCAACTGTAAACGATCACAACTGTTCTGAAGAGATCGCCATCCTGCGCGGGAGGAGGGGGAGGAGAGGCAGCGCCCCCGTACACCTTAGCTACGCTCGTCTTGATAGATATAAAGGATGAGCTAAAGCTCAAAAGTAACTGAAAAGTGACTGTATCTTTTGAAAAAATATAAAACAGAGGATCCGGTTTGGTCCATTGATCATTGTTGGAAGGGGCTGATTTTTTTAGGAGGGGGGCTCATTTGTGGGACCCCTTTGGGGCTCCTCACGGGGGGGGGGGGGCGCAACTCGAAATTTTCAAATGGCAACCCTCGTTTGTGATACATCGTTATAGAAAAAGATAAAAAACAAGATTGATCGCGCAACCGGAGATCAATCCAACGTTTCGTTCTCGAGATATTCACGACGAAAGTTCGATGTGAGCCAATTTTCAAAAACTGTTAAGTCCTGCTTAAAAGGTCTCAAAGAGGCCGTCTGCGGATTAATATTCGTAGCTCTGATTTTTTTCTCATACCTAAATTCTCGACGAATTTGATTCTAGTTGATAATATGTGGTTGTACTCCTATTGTGAGATGAGAAAGAGAAGAACGAGAAACTATGAGGACGCCATGATGATATATATGGAGGGAGTGCCTAGTCCGACAACCCCGGACGGCTTGGGTGACAGTGCTGCCTCAGGTGGCAATGTGAGATGCGGACTACCAACTTAACGTGTTCCTTTTTTTTTTTTTTTTTTTTTTTTTTTTTTTTTTTTTTTTTTTTTTTTTTTTTACATTTAATATAACATTACTATCCGTGAGGAGCTCCAAAGGGGTCCCACAAATGAGCCCCCCTCCTAAAAAAAATCAGTCACTTCCAGCAATGATCAATGGACCAGACCGGAACCTCTTTTCTATATTTTTTCAAAAGATATACTTAGTCACTAGTCGGTTTTTTTCGGCCCATCCTGTATGTGTCAAAATAGATTAACAAAATTTGAGGGTTTAATACAGCTGGGTATTTTGAGGTATGTTTTGCAATGTAGAGGCGTGAGAATCGACTCATACATTGAGGCGAACATAAAACTCGTTTCAGCTCTCAGCCGTCGCACCTGTTGGTCTATGATGCTCAAGAAAGAACGAATCCGTAAGCCGACTTGAAAATGTCGAAACAAAATCGAGATCGAGGGTCAAGTTGACTTAACGATGTTCGACGACGTTCCTCTGGTTTAAACTCTTTTAACCATTTAGCAATCGTAAAAAATCAATAAAGGTTGGATTAAGCTATGACTGCAAGCAGACGTCATGTGTAAGTTGCCATGGCGACCACCCGGACCAGGGATGCTGCGGGAAGCTCCCCTCCGTTCTCTACCTCTTTCTCGTTGACCCTGCCCTCGACCTGTTCTCAGCGGTATAGGGGCCTTTCCGTGGAATATCATTCCGCAAGGGTGTTGTCCATCTGCGAGCCGGGCCACTAGTCTTTGCACTTCCACGTAAGAAAGGTGAAAATGAGAACTTAGAAACTGAGAATGTCTAAAAATTTGATGAGTATTACATACATGGAAATCCAAGGTTTAAGCCGTCAGACTGAAGGAGCGCACGTGTTCCATAGGTCAAAATGAGACTCTTATGACTCTTAGGACTTTCCCTTATGACATTATTTCCGAAGGTGCTTGCAAAGAGGATTATACCCTCCCCCCTTTCTTCTAGTTCTGGGAAATTAATATAGTTTCTCTTGCATTTTGGCAACGCTAATGCTCGGAATCTCATGAAAATTGGCATGCACTCATAATTTGATACCTACGCGATTGATTAGTGTCATGAGAAATGTAGAAATCTCGGTCAAATTAGGGGTTGCAAGAGGTGTTTGAAAGGAAATGGCCCATGACTTAGTTTTTTCAACGTATTTTGTATCCCACTGTGAACTAAAATTTCGATTTTTCTAATTTCACTAACGAATTCAGCGTATCAAATAATGAGTGCAAACCACTGTTAAGGTGATTTGATGCATTACTTGTTAAAATGCAGGAAAAACAATTCACGTTCCCAGAATTTTGAGGGCAGTTGTAGCCCTCTTACAAACACTCTGGGAAAAAATTTCGTGAAAGAAAAAAAAATCTTAATTTGACTATGGAACACGCTTCTACGGCTAGTGTGCCGGTTTGTTAACCTTGGATCACCCTGTAGAATGGTAAAAGTGTAAATTTTTTCTCCCAGTGCGCCCTTGAAAGTGAGTATGGTGGAGTGTAAGGGGTGAATGGTGTTGCCAGGTGGTGTACGAAAGAGCCGTATGCAAAAACGACATTTTTCACCCCCCCACTAAAACTTATTCAAACTTCGTCTATCAGTTACTAATACTGGAGCGCTTCTTTCCCCAAATTTTCAGACCCCCAAAAAATTTGGGGGGGCGCTAGAGGGGTTGGAAGTCAAAACCTGTGAACCTCGATATCTTTCGAACGAAACAAGATATTGAGGCCTGGTTTTGACGAAAAATCGTCTAAAATTGCATACTTTGAGATTCTAAAGGTCAAAATCCCAAAATTAAATTTTTAACTTATCTTATGTGCTTTTTTTCAGTTTTTGAGGAAAAACAATTTCTTTTAAACACGCTAAACTGAAAAAGCACGATTTTGTATTTGAACCAAAACCAGTTTTTTAAATTGCTCGTCTTTTTTTGCATCCAACGAGTGGTCGTATAAGCTGGAGAACCGAACGGTTCCGGAGTTATGATCGATTGAAGTTTCCGCTCAACGCGCGCTGACCGATTTTCGCGCGCAAAAAAGTCAGATTTGACTGTTATTAAATCA